AGTGATACATAACAAATATTGGGGGAGAAAATGTTCTTATTTTTAGATTTATTTTCAGGGACAGTTCAAATAATTGTTTTAATTACTCCTGCGATCTTGTTTTTATGGAAATTTTGGGAAATCCCTTCTTAGTGCTTTACTATGAATCGCCGAAACGAAAATGTCAAATATTGTAAAAATGTCCACCCGTGCGAAGCTGGGACGGGTCGCTAGTCAATAATAAGTTTTGTATATTTATTAAGTTAAATAATAAATTATCAAGATCGGTCTGAACAATCTGATCAGTTAATTTATCATATAAAATGGCAGGAAGAGGTTGGAATAGCTAGTTGGCCACCAATAAACTAGCAGCATATCTAATGATCTAACGAAACCCAACAGTTGCTCTTCATTTACTAATATTTATTACCTGACAACCTCTAGCACCGCACCTGGATAAATAAATACCCCTTGCAAATTGTATTTCATAAATGCTACTGTTACGGAGACCGTAATAAATTGACGAAGGATCTTGAAATAATTTTCTGTAATACCATTTCAGGATGAAGTTTCATTGTTTGTGTAATTTCTGCAAAATGGTCCGACTAATGAACAAGAGTTGTAGAAAAGATTTTCTTGTTTTGAGCAATTGCAATGCTGTTAGAAGACTTATTGTGTTACCTTGCTACGGATATTAATCGAGAGACGGTTTCTGGTATTTTTCATTTAACTAATTGGGTATGTACCGTGTATCTTTATTTTTAAATAATTATAATAGAATGATCAATTTGTAGAGTACCGTACATCGTTTGGTTATTTTGTAGAAACAAAGAACTTAAATCGACGATTTACCATATATGTTTGGTTGTTTATTTAAATTACTCAGTCTCGTGATCACTAAACATTTATTAAAAACTATCAAAAATCAGTTTGGAGTAAAAAGTAGTTTATAAATTAAACCATAATTTTAAAATGGATACATAAACTGATTAAATATTATCGAAAAACATTGTGTAATTAAAAAAAAATTAATTATTTGACGTTTTCAATCAAAAATAATAAAGTTATTACTGATTCCTTATAGTACGTCTATTATTACTATTATTTAATATTTTAAATGTAATATAGTATAGTAGTATATTATTATTATTTGTACTAATTACCATAAAGTTTCTTTTGTTTAAATGAAATTATTACATAAGGTTTACTTAATGTTTATGCGACAGTGAAGTAGTATATACAGTGGCATATAGTTTATGGAATGAGATAGAAGACTTGTGCTTTTTTCTGAATTTTTTATATAAATAAACAAAATAAAAACTATATTTCTTGTTGATAAACGAACGGAGAACCTTTTAGAAGTAGTTTTTCTGGCTTTCAGGTAGAATAGTCACGTACTGTAATGACTGCCAATGAAATCTTCCCTGTTTTTTGATGCGGAAAAAGGTAAAACGTTTAATGTAACTCCTCATTTTATTCGAGCTCTATTTTCGTCGATATTTCATAACCGCACGATTTATGTAATATAGCGGCTTTATTTTGCTAAGTTTGTAATTTGTACGGAGCATTGTTTACAAGCGAATTACAAGTTTAATACCTAAAACACATTTAAAAATCTTTTTATAATTCTTAACTCTTGACGTATAAAGAGGGATATCATAACTATGCCGACTTCATTTGTTTGCGGCAGCTTTTAAAGAAGTGAAGTAATTTTTTATTCTAATGTAATTAATCTGATTATTAAGTGATTTTTAGATAAAGGTTATCATTTATTTCTTATTCGGTTTTAACAATAATATTATATAATATTGATCTTATAATATTTTTATAAATTTGTACTTAAATAGTTTTTAAACAGTAAGTATAACCAACGACGTTTCTTTTATCATGATAATAGATTATTTGCCTATTATCATATTAGCCAGTTAGCTTAATGTTAGGGTTTTGTTTAGAGTTCTTCTTTTTGTGCCTGGGTGTAGTGCTTGGTTTCCTTAGTCGTATCTTAAGACCGCATTTCACGTGAATTGTTAGTGTTTACTTCTGTTTAGACCATTAGAGGACCTTTATTTAGAACAATACCTGAGGAATGACACCTGAGTCCTCAGGAATGGCAACGCATGGGGGGTATCATGGGCGAAACAGTGTAGTCTGTTATGCCTATGGTACTGCTCATATCTATAGGCGACGATTACCACTTGCCATCAGATGGGCCGTCAGCTTGTTTACCATACTAAGTTGCATAAAAAAAAACAATTGTATGTTTGGTGTCAATTATGAATTTTATAAATAAAAAAATGGAGTAGTCCGAAGCTTTTATGCAGTAAGTTGAATAATAAAATTACATGCGGTTAGGGGCTTTTAGCGCTCGTTGTTCATATGCCGTATATACTTTATGCCATTTCACTTAAAGTGCCTTTCTGAGGTTGTAACACTAATTGAGTTTGTAGAATCGTTGTGTAAACTAAAATAAGGTGTTTAGTTTCATACTGCCAACGGCTATAGACCGTAGTAACTTAACTTTCATTAACGGTAGACTCCGAACCCTTTAATATTATTTCAGCTGTGAATTTATAACTCCTAAATGGTTTGTATATTTTGTAACAAAAAGTATTAACAGGGAGCCCTTTTGAAGTATTAGGTAGAATAGTTATAAATTTAATAGACAGTAGGTAAAACATTATTTTATACGTCGGCGTGAATACAACGTTCACCGAATTTTGTATACCTAGCTGAGTATTAGCTACTCGAACTTTGTCAGCAAGTGATATGAAGATCAATTTATCTACATTACGCCTGTCTATCATTGCGTTAGGCAGAAACATAGGAACGTTGGTTACTTTGACCCAAATATACATTTTTCATGTATATACTACTACTACTAATTATGACGTGAAACTGAATCCTAAACAATAAAGTAACCATATTATAATTATTATTAGAAGAACGACAAATAAAAAGGTAGATCCTTCTTCTACATTTTTGTTGTTTATTTCATCTAATAGAGAAATAAATAATAAATAGAGAATAGAAGAAACAAAATGCTGGGCCATCTTATACGACATGACGATTTTTTAAAGAGCGTAGTAGAAGGAAAAATAGAGGGCAAAAGTGGAAGAGGAAGAACGAGGAATAAGTATATGTGACAGACAAAAGAAACACTAGGTATCATGTCGTATAGGGAAGTCAAGGATATGGTCTGGGTTAAAACTGGCTGGAAGAAGATGCATGAATTAGTTGCACCGACAAGAAGAAACTCTTAAATGAAAAGAAGATTTCATGTAAACACTACACAAAAGTATATTAGTGTAGTTTATTTTATATGGCTTGCAAATACTAATGTCGGAGGGAGAAGAGATTGTTTATAATGAGAACTAACGATTCCATTGTTAGACGTCCATGCGGTTTCCGCTGATTTATTCTCAATGGAATCGTCACGATGGGCCAGGCTGGACTAAGCTGCTACCATTCTCACCTATCATTGCTTACTGCCAGCGTATACTGATAGATAGTAGGGATGCCATTGTCATACATTAAAAAAATAACAGTAATACATATGAATTGTTCTAGGTAAATTACTTGTTTATCAACTTAGCGAGACAGTCGCCCACAACCTCTCAACTTGCTTAGCCATCGCAGTCCTAAACACCTCCGGGCTTAGTATACATTTTGTTTAGAATTACCTATCCAAACAGACCGTCTCATAAATTCCAAACTTTTCACCCACAACTTTTGTACGAACTGACCTACATATTTTGTTAATACAGAAAATTATGTTCTAGATATTACTGTTTCTCCATAAGTCATTTTGTTTGTGTAAGGTTTACAAAGTTCTGTTTATATTAATATTGTTATACAAAGTTAGCAAAAGAAAAAGCCTGACGCCAATTTTTATAACACTACTTTTAAAATTGTTTTTCTTAGTCATATTTCATATTATTTTAAGTTTATAATGAAAAAAAAAATTGTTATGTCATATAGGTAGTCCGTAGCACCTCTAACGATAATAAATTAATTTAGGCTATAGTTTATTATCACAGTCTTAGACATTCTTTTTTACCAGTCGTCTAATAGAGAAACTTAGAAGAAGAAAGCATCTTGATTCTCATGTAATTTACACATACATGGTCACTGATTATTACTGTACTGTGTTATGTTATGCCAAAAGTCGTAACATATATAGGTGTACCTAAAAATAATTATCAAACATTCTTGGGCATACGGGTACAAAGTAATTTTATTATTTAATAATTGGTATTTTCTAATACTTCCAATGTATTTAAAGTCTAGTCACCTTTACAAATGTTACCTACTTTTACCAATATTAGTTCGATCAATATTAGATATTAACAAGGTTAATTTTGAATTCACTGTACCTATCGAAATTACAGAAATGTAAATTTTTTATCATCAAATATTAATTAGTTTCTGATAATTATTCTGATTGCTGCAAATTATTATCAGACATTTAAAATACTCTGGATTCTTATTTGAAACTCGTGCAGGTTGTTGACCTAGTAAGACTATCTTAGAGAAGTGGTCGATCTTATTATAGGAATACAGAATTAAAACAAGATCAGAAAAAAGACGTAGTTAAAAGGTTGAAAAAGAAAATAAATACCTGAAACAGGATATTCTATGGTATATTTGTATTCTCTGTATAAGATTAAATCCAAATTAATTGTCATGTTTCGGGACTCTAAAACATATAATATAATGTATAGAAAGAAATATAAATTGCTCCGTAAAAAAAATAACGATTTTAATGGTGAACGCACCGATAACCGTTGAGATGTTTCGTAGATACCCTACAACAACTCAATTTTCCTTTGTCACAAACCTTTTTTATACGCAAAGAAAATAGCAGCTTCAATTGTCTAAAAATTAAAATGGGCCAAACAGGGGAGTAAATTTAATCGATTATATACAGAATTGTGAAATTTGGTTTAGAATTTGCGATAAAATACATATTTGGAAAAAAATTCAGACGAAGAAAATTAAGAATATTGTATTTGTTTGAACAGATGAACAGCGAAGAATATATGGATCAGAAGGCGGCGAGGAACCTCCTCGTTATGTCAGCAGTCCACAGCGTCAAGCATCACCTTTTCCCTTAGAAAGTACAAATAGAAGGTACTATCGGAGAAACAGAAATTCTAAAGGTTGGTTTACTTTTTATAGTTTCAATATTGTATAATGTAGATACTATGCTATGTATATAGAAGTGAAAATGCAATGCATATACCAATGATATTTATTTTTTAGATCAACTCTCATGCACCATTTATGCATGTATTCAACTATGAATAAACCCGTTCTTGTAATTTTAATTATGTTGTAATGCTTTTAAGTGAATAAAAAAAATTAATAAACTGGAAACAGGGCAGTAGATTCGCTTTCTATATTGTCATTATGTTTTTTTGTTCTCATGTTTTTCACTTACAGTGCATTTAAATATGGAACGATTATGTTTTTGCTTACATCTATTAAATACACGATTTAAGAGTATGGCGTCATTTACTTAAATTTATTTTTTTAGATTTTCTTTTTATTTGCTATGATTATAGGTATAAAACATTAGATCTTATAAATTAAAAGTACTTTACAAAATCTACTCAGATCAAGCGTCAAATATTAAAAACAAAACTTAAAATAATTTAATTTCTAATTTTTTGTACCCTTAAAAAGTCAATTATTTAAGAAAAAAACATTACAAAATTACATAATAATAGAATAACATTCATTATAATATTAAGGAATGTAATTCAATTTATTTTATTCAGTCAATTAGTTTAAATAGTCAAAGCAAGTAATACAATAATTGGTTGTCAAATGCTCAACAATTAAGATGAAATATACTAATAAAAAAAGACAATAAGTAAGATATCAAATATAACAATAACACGTACAAATCTTCATAATTTTAATCTGAAATAAAATCTTTATTCATAACAATAATAAAAAAAGAGTATAGTTACGATTTCACTAGCCATTCATAATTTTTTTTTTAATTATCACTCCAGAGAGGGTTCTTAAATTGTTTGGAAGATTATTAAAAATTCTCATCACCATGTTATATGGACATTTCTGTGTCAATGTTAATTTTATTATGGGTAATTTTATTTTATTTAGGGGTCTGTTTCGTTATGATTTTATTGCAGTTGTCTTATGTTTCTTTTTATTAGTTAGCAGTTTTGGTGGGGATATTGTCGCAGCCTTTTTTTTAAATATTTTTTGGGCCATTTGACTATCAAGTATTGGCGACGAAGAACTTTGTAATTTCATAATATTAAAAAATCATGTTAAAAAATTAGCATATAGAAGTACAGTTTAACTACCTTTGCCTACCTAAATAGCGAACTGAAAAATAACAACTACAACATTATCATCATATTACTATCCTTATTTTATTATTTTATTTAGGGTTAACGTACTCGTACAACAACTACAGCAATATGTGAGTATATTATTTTTATACATAGGTGAGGAGATATTTAGCAATGATGCGACAGGCGGCACCCTATCACGTCGTCGTCGTGCGGACGATTTTGGGCTGGATAACGCTGCGAGAAACCAACGACATTGTCTTAATAATGGTAAGATTCTCACATTATTTTTAACTTTTAAACAGTGGAGATTCGAATGGGGTATAAATAGAGATTGGTTATTGTTAACAGAATATAGCAAAATAAATTTATGCACTAGCAACAATTTTGTTGTGGCAATACTAAAAGTGCTAATAGATGACTATTTAATTAAATATCTGTGTGTTGTATGTGTAAAAAAATAAAAAAAAAAACAGTAGAATATAATGATATGTTTATAGCATCCCTAGTTTTGAGATATATTATTGAAAGCATTAAAAGTGTGTTGTGCTGTAGTCTGTGTATTTATTAAAATAAACAGTTATAAAAATAATCAATTGAATGAAACTTTGTAAAATAAACTTTTTTTTCACTATGCATGTTAAAACACTAATTAAATTAGAATATTATATATTGAATACATAAAAATTGTTAGAAAAATTGTTTTGGTAAATTTACGAGTAGATAAGTCTGTTTTTACAAGATATGTGGCGTCTGAAATATCTATGTACAATTTAATTAATCTACTTGATGGAAAAGAAAGTAATGATCTTGACAAGTGGCTATGAGATGAATATGTACAATATTTATTTACAGACGCCACAGATATAACTTAATTGTACACATTATGAAAATTAAATCGAACGTAATGTTAGGAATGAGTGAGGAGGTATTACGTACATTCAGCACTTCTGGATTCCAGTTATTGTAGTTAGGCATTCTCGGTATAGGTGCATAATACAAGGTGGGTGCATGCCTTTGATAAGGATGTTTCACATAGTTTCTACTGGCATGGCGCACGTGACTAGCGAGTCTATCCAGTGTTTATTATAAATAAATAATAAAGTGTAGTGATGAAAACTTGAAATTTTAAGACATATTTCTACCGACTTCAAAATTGTTCCGTGTGTATATAGGTCTCGCTATTGCAATAATCTTTTTGACAATAACATAGTTAATATTTAATTATAAATTATAAAAAGATCACAATCTATAGTTCAATATAAAATATGTTACGATTTAGTTTGCTGTTTTGTTTGTGGAACAAAATTTAAACTTATTAATCTCATTTAACATATTTGATGTCATGGTTTCATCTAGTAGTAGAAAAGAGGGCGTTATTGTACACTTAGAGTGCATGTATGAGGTTGCCACCGAGAATATTTCTGCTCCATCGGTTGTCGGTTCTTAGAGCTACATGGCCAGCCTATTCAGTTTAATAATTCTTAGAAGTACTTAGAATATTTTATTCGTAAAAAGTGAAATTTTATTACGACTGAAAGCAATGCCCCGTACATATTAGAAAGACGGTCGCTTCTGTCAGTCACTTTTCGAGTACCACGCACTGATTCTTTTGTAATGCTGTAATTATTGTTGCTTTATAGGTCCAACAAGTGATGCACCAAACGAGCGCGAATGTGATTCACCACCGGAACCAGCACCACCAGAGGTGCCTCCAAGAGGTCCCTCGTTGCACGTGACTCTACGACACCGGCCCGTGCCTTGCGAACAGTCCACCGAACCTGACCGCCTCTACTTGTCTGAAGGTACGTAAAATTGTAGTTATTATTAATATAACTGTTGTTTTAGAAACTAGCAGTTTCTATTAAATCAAGTTTGTGCGAACTTGGATATTTTTTATAGGCAGTTTTTATATACTTATTTTGTTATTTGGTCGATATGGTACAAATGTATAGAAAACTGGAATAACCTTTGCATTGTTGCCTATAATACTAATAACTGCGATCAACAGCTTAATTCCTATAATTAAACCGCATCGGTATCTTAGCGACTCAGTCGTCAAGAGTTGTACATATGTTCTCATCATTGAATGACGCCAACTCCAAGGTTGTTTAATTCTAATGCCATCGAGTCATCTCGTGTTTAATCTAAAATATTCTTAATAATTTATTAATCTAAAGGTATCAGTTCAGATTAATAAATATCATATAATTAATAATAAAATAATACATCTTTCCTCTTTGTAAAATAGTAATATTTTACAAATTTGGTTTTTATTTATAATAGATTAAGTAAAAATACTGTATTGATTTTAAAATTACTTTACCCATAGAAAGTTACATTATTAGCGACTGACATTGGATGTATATTATTTTTAAAAAGTCATATGTAACCGAGATGGGTTATGAATATAGTTATTCTTAAATAAATTTTTATGTATTAAAATTTTGTGTACAGAAAAATATTACTTATTTTATTTCTTAGTTCAAAAGTCAATAGACGTGTAATACGTCAAAAACAACTTTGGACTGATCTTTGACGGAACGACTTCTCAACTTTTGTGCTATTTGAACAATTTTTTACGAGAATCAGGTTACAAATTAAAACCAGTTCTAAATATACTTTATGTATTGCCATAAATCTCAGTTTGATTCAGTTTTAAACAAAATCGCTATTAGCATCAGAATTGACGCGTCGAATATTATTTTCGACTCATAAATTATGTATGTAATTTAACAACATTCCCAGATTTCAAAGAACCTCATCTAGTTAGACTAATAATAAACCGACATAATTAATCCACTTACTGTTTAGTAAATTGAATAAAAAATAATAATGCTTGATTAATGGTACTTAAAAAATATGTTGTCATTCATTATTTGATACATATAAGTATTCAACTTCAAAAAGGAGGAGGTTCTATGTTCCGATGTATAATTTTTTAAATGTTCTAGATTTGGAATTTGAATTTCGAATATGAATATTATTAGGCCAATTTATCAATATATTAACCATGTTCAGTGGTATGAATAGATTTCCATTCTATTACTTTCCTATCATATAAATATACTTGCCTCTACAAAGCAAATTTCCTTATAATTCATCTGAACAGTACGATAAAATTATACGAAAAGATTTTCCTAGCAAAGTCTGCTTGTTATGTTTATACCTAGTTCAGTTACATGGGTAATAAAGTTTATAAGCAAAGTTAGTTTACCATATATTAAGTTAGTAAAAATTATGTACAAACAATAAAATGTGTTAAAAATAGTGATTTATAAATGATATAACCAAAATAATTATGATGCATATATTTTTTTTAAAATATGCATCTTTTTGTATCAAGAGTCTATTCATCAGAAATTACATTTTTCTATAAACAAAAAACATAATGACGGTAGCGTTTGAGGTCACACATGCCACGCATTGATATATCGGTGGGTTGCTCTATCTCCCTCCCAATGAGTGAGCTAATTAAATTTCCGCCGTAAATGTACAGTCGAGTTGCGTTAAGTAGGCCCTGTTCTTGTATACGTACTTCGACACAAGTTTAATCGAATTGCAGCGTCCACAGGAGTCCGTGCCACCAAGTTTGCGCACGCTGACAAATTAGCCACTTGATCTTGCTATGCCCGAGGCGCGTGTACGTAAAGAACTCCGACTTTAATTCCTTTTACATCCTCTTTGAAGTTTTTCTTGTTTACACTTCCGAGTTTTCATCAAGTTAAAACAGTTATACGACATTTTTTGAGTACCTCGAAAAGGTCGTTTTTGTGTTGATGAATTTACAGGCAGGTGTGTAACAAACCACAGGTCAGATACTCAACCGTGTTTCGTGTTGTAACGAAAGAAGGCTGCTAAATTTGATTTGGACGAAAGCCCGGAGCAGGATGAGGTGCTTTGATGTGGCGTGCTCCGCCCTTCGCCCGACCACTCCCCGCTGAAATGGCGCGCACTTACAGAGAAACTCTTACCGTAATTTAATTTTTATGATAGCGCATTGTAAGTGTTCCGGAGAGAATGCTACCCCTATTTCTTCCTCAACTTAATGGCATTCGATGACATGAATAAAAGCAATAGAGCCCATGTAACCAGGACCTTGGAAGCAAATTTGATAATTTATAAAAAAGATCAATTTGTCTAGAATCGATTTCTCTCAAAGGATCCAGTGATCTATTTGTAAATAATGATTAACGGTAATAAAATAATCCTCTCTAAAATATTATGTAGACATGGAAATGAATTAGGCAAATCTTGATTCAAACAAGAAAATAGCTTCAAAAGGTCTTGAAAGTTTAATGGAATCGAACAGGGCGGGCCCGAAGTAGTCGGAAGTTTGCGCGGGTGACAAATTGGGCACTTGACCCGCGCGTCGGCCGAACCTCCGAGTGCTTGTTTCTCGAGGACCGTAATAAGTTAAACTTAAAGTAAACTATATTCCATTCCCTTTAATTTGTCCTGATGTAGTAAATACATCACCAAGATCTCTATTTATACTTTACCTACTTGAAGCGAGATTAATGAAGAACATTATTTTGCGTATAAAATAAGTAAATAATGTTTACACACATTAAAAATGCATTAATATAAATTAATATTTATATAAACTTTATTTTAGATTTATACTAGTAATAAGCATGTCTTCGCATGGTTTTTTAAAAAAATAAGACACACATGTTACTCATTGATAATGTACGAGTAGCTTTATATGGGTGAAAGAAAATGAAAGGTATTTTTTGAGTTTATTCATTACAAATAAAAAAAAACTCTTAATAAGTTTAGATTTAAAATATGTAGATTATATCTAAAGTAATTAAAAGACATCATATATAGATCATATATTAGCCGATTACAGATTTCTAATTTGTATATTAAGTAATGTTATAGGTATATATATATTCTCGAAACACAAAATAAATATTTATATCTATAATATAATCGTAATATTGCTAACAGTATGAGGCTCTATAAAAAGGGTGTATTGAAGTTTCTTCAGCTTCGACAACGCGCGTGTGACATCCATAGTGTTGCAGGTGTTCATAGACCACGGTGACCGTGTACCCTCAGACAGGCTGTATACTTGTTTGCTAACTTCGTGGTATAAAAAATAAGATTATAGACTAGTCGATATATATTTTCTTATATTTCTCGATCCTTTTTATGGCATATAAAAATTATGAATGGATATTATTTTCAAGATCATTTTATCATTCATCACTTACATAATTTTTGTCATCAGCTTGCCTATGATTACAGACTTATGAGGATTGACTATTATTATTATAAGTGGTTCTATGACAGTTCCAAATTTCGGTTCAGCATTAATTACCATAACTGCAATCACTTTTACTGTTATTACTAGAACAAATACTATTCGTGTAAATGTGGCGTCCTCTGGGTTTAACTGGCTCTAGACTGCCTTTGTTGCAACTGTAATCCGACGTAGTATTTATAGAGAAATGTTGTTTACAAATATTTTCGAAAAAATGTTAATATCGTTGCTACGTAGACAAAATGAGGAAGTTTGTTTGCTTATTGCTTACTAGCAATATAGTATCTCGCGGCTTCAAATTTCATTCAAATTCGTTCAATAAATTTTTGTGTGTATTAGTAACAAAGATACATCCATTCATCCATCCGTTGTTACAAATTCTCTTATTAATTATATTAATAGGATTTATATTTACTGCTACATATTAATTGTTTATATTACTTCAATTGATTATACAGATGGCCATGTGGCATATCGGCATATGGCCATCCCGGCATAGAATAGGCCACCACTTCCTTTCATCATAAGGTGTCATAAGAGGCGACTAAGGGAGGGCGAAGATGGGTAGCAGCGTTTCTCTTAAAACATCTTTAAAGCCTAACTGCGGTTGTCAATGCGCTTGCAAAGCGTGGCAATTATTAGTAACCCCCCCTCCTCCCCCAAGGGGAGGTTTGTGTTCAGTAGTGGACAGTTGAAGGCTAATATGATGATGATTAATGAATATATAAAAAGAAAGATTAGAACGAAAGACACAGTAGTACAAATAAAAAATTGTTGATTTGACTAAATGTTTAGATTTATTCCGAATTTAATAATTTTATTTAGATAGTGTCTTGGTTACAGTTTTAATAAAACTTGGTTTCCTTTTCAATAAGTTGTATTGAAACAAACTGTAGCTGGCTAACCAAAGTGGATGAAGTAACATGTTACATGAAGAGTGCTTCATGTAGGGGATTAAATTGTAATTATTTATTACCAGAGGGAGACTTTGTACAAAAGTCGATTGCTTGGGTACCTATGTCCCATTCGTGTTTTGACCGTGAAGCAGTTGTGTTTGCATGGCTGTGTTTCGGTTCAAAGGGTGGGATATGGCGTGAATTTACTGGGTACAGAGGAATAACACCTGAATCCTCAGGAATGGCAACGCATGGGAGGTATCATGGGCGAAACAGTATACTCTGTTATGTCCATGGTACTGCTCATGTCTATAGGCGACGGTTACCACTTTCCATCAGGTGGGCCGTCAGCTTGTTTGCCAATCTAAGTAGTATAAAAAATTATTTATTTAATAGCCATATTTAGGATAATATTTAGTTAGAACTTTTAAAGTTTTCTCGATATCTAAAACAAAAATAGTAGCAATTGCAAATGCAATAATATTATTTCTGTGCAGAATGGTGCGTCTCAAATCGTAGCCTCTCGCTTGAAAATTGAAACCTCCCTGGAGACTCACCGTAATTTAATTTTTACGACGCCGTATTGTTAGAACTTCCGAGAAGTGCTGTTTGCAGTCCAAATTCCAAACAGTTTTTC